CCGCGGCAGCCTCCGCCGCGGCGGCGGCCGCCAGCGCCGCCTGCTGCTGCCTCTCCAACCGCTCCTGCTTGTCTGCCGCAATAGCCACCCTTATCCTGTCCTTCTCTTCGCTCTCGCGCTTCAGCCGGTGCTCCCGCTCTATCCGCTTGCGCTGCGACGCGGCCGCCGCGGCGGGGTTTCGCGGAGTATGGCGGCAGGCGTGAGGAGGCGTGCGTGAGGGAGTGGCTGCGGCGTGGCCGAGCGGCTCTCCCTAGCGATCGCGCCGGCCCGCGCGGCCCCCGCTGCCAGGCGTGCGCAGGGGCGTGTAGCCAAGCGTGCCGTCCTGCATCTCGGGGATGCGTGGGACCTCGCGCGCACCTGCGGGGGCACGCGTGTCCGCCCCGCGCCCCGCGCCCGGCCCCGCGGCCCCCGTCCTGCACCTGGCCGCGGCGCCCCAGCCCCACTCCAAACGGCGCATGCGCATGCGCATGCCCGTGAAAAGCGCATGCACGTGCGTGCGTGCGCGCGTTGGCGCATGCGCATGCGCATGCCCGTGAAAAGCGCATGCACGTGCGTGCGTGCGCGCGCACGCGCGCACACACACACACATGCAAACACACAAACACACCTCTGCCTTTTCGTGTATTGTGGCGCGCGCGTGCGCCAGGACGTCCCGCGCCTCCGCCAGCACGGCCCAGCCCACAGAGCCCGGCTGGGACTCAAGCACCATGTAGCGCGTCAGGTCCACCACCTGGGAGGGTTGGTGGAAATGCCAAGAACATAACAGGTGTGCTTGAGCAAGCCAAATGGCTAGGGGTTTTGGTGGCGGAATCTAGAACAAGCTATGGCCGCGCGAAGCAGTTTGCTGCGTGTCCGGGTGGTCCTTATGCGGGCACGTGCTGAAAGCCAGCTGGCGGCGCAGGAGCCGGGGGAGCGGGCCACACCGATGGCGCAGGAGCGCTGCGGCATGCAGGCAGATCAAGCGAGCCGCGCGTACACACTGCTACGCGCGTCATGGGCCTTGGCCCTCTCCGCCCCCAGACGAGCGGGCCCAGCGCCGCCAAAGCGGGCAGGACACACGCGCACGCGGCGGGCGCGCCTGCGGCCGCCAGCCGGCCTGCAGCAGCAGCTCCTCCGCGTGCTTGACTGGGGCAATTGCCCCCTGGTAGGTCTTGCTGGCTATCTTGACCTGCAATTTTTCGGGGGTCGAGGCATCAGGATGTGCTCACGATCACCAGCAGCCAGCACCAGGGGGCGCATGCCTTGTCATCACTTGCCGGGCCACGGGTTGTGCTGGCTCGCGGGCAGCCCTGGCGGTTCTGGGCCGGGGTGCCGCCGTCGCTGTGTAACAAACGCTGCAGCTGCGGCGGTCCAGGCAGCCTGTGGGGTGCTGTCGCCGCCACGGGGTGCGTGCAGCACACCGCTTCCCCGCTCTTGTCAGCTTGGCACAGGGGCGTGTGCCCCCCGAACTTCCCAAAGCCCACACCCCGAAGGCCCACGCCTTGCCTAACCCGGAAATCTGGTGATTCGGCACCCACCCAGCCACTGCTGCACCCTCCTTTCAGTGTAGGGTGCCAAAAAGTCCCTTCTTGCCTCAACTCCGTCCCATCCCATCCCGTCACACTACCTGCCCCTTTTGCCGCTCGCCCGTCCCCTCCGCCCCAACCACCATGAACTTCCCACCTTTCTGAACTTCTCGTCCTCTGGGTGGTCCAGGGCGTTGCCAAAAATCTTCTCCATCGTCGCCACACAAGACTCCAGCACCGCCGGCGCTGCCGTGCCGCGGGCGCGCCGCCGCATGCGTGATTTGCGCTCGATCACAGAGAAATTTTGCAGGCTGCAGCAACCACTTTCGGCGCAGGCGCCCCGAGCAGGGGCTACCGCGGTGGGCTGATGCGCAGGCAACAGGCTGCATGGGGCTGGGTGGGGGCCACCCCTGCTACAGCATCCGCCTGGGGCGCCGCGCCAGCTTGCGGGTGCGTTCGCGCCAACCTCGGAGGGCCCCCCCTCCCAGCCAGAGGTTGCGCGGCGCAGTGGGCCCCAGATAGGCCGTGTAGCAATGGAATTGCTGTGCATGTGCAGCAGGATTGGGGCCGAGGGCGGGCGGCGTCTGAAGGGTCTCCTCACCGTAATGGAGATAGTCTAGGACATTTGATTCTAGCGCGGCGCTGAACTTGCGCCGCGCGTCACGCACCACCGGGTCTGCGTGCGAGCCGCCCGGGTCCATCTGGCGAGTGGCCGCCGCCGCTCCTCGCCGCCGCCGCTGCGCCGCGGGCTGCGGGCGCTGGTGTCCCCAAGTGGCGCGAGGTGGCGGTGCGTCGCCGATGTCACCTTGCACTGGGGCGCTGCACTGTCGCTACGTCGCAGCGCCACCGATAGGAAGATGGTGATGTTATTCTGTAATGGATTTCGAACAGGGCTGCGACTTCGAAACAAAGTGCGAGATCAGTTCGTGTTACCGGTATTGCAGAGCCTCCACGCGTTGCTATTAATTATACAGGTGTACAACGAGACGCAAACAACCGTTCAAAACAATGTGCGCGCACCATGATCAACACTCGGCCCCTTGCGGTGCCACAGCTCGGGGCAGCCGCGCACAACCATTCTTGCAACTGAAGCGACGCCAAACTCAAGCGTTAACGAAGACATCAGACGGATGCACCATAGCCCTGCGCGCTCTGCGGCGCCACACGCCCTGAGTTCGGTGTGCGATGACAGGGCCCTACAGTAGCAGCCCACGACGCCGCAGCAGGCTCAGCAGCAGCAGCAGCAGCAGCAGCAGCAGCGGCGGCGGCGGCGGCGGCAGCCACAGGCGCAGCAGCCCGCAGCAGCAGCCACAGCAGGCGGTGAAGATGTCAGCGATGGAGCGGCTGAACCAGGACAAACATCAGCTGGAGATCAACCTCGTCCGGGTTCAGGCGCAGACGTGCCCCGTGCTTGCCTGCCCCTCATCCCCCCCAAGGGCACCCACAGGGTTGCCTAGCTGCAGCCGCGCTCCCCCTGTTTGCGCGCCACCACCACCTGTGTCGTGAGCACCCTGCGCTGCCTCATGAGCCGCCTCGCCTTGTCGGCTTCGATGAGCGCCCGCACCCTGTCCCTTTCTTCGCTCTTGCGCTTCAGCCGCTGCTCCCGCTCCGTGCGCTTGCGCTGCGCCGCGGCCGCCGGGCCGCCGCGGCACCGCGGCGCGTCGCACGGGGTGGTGCGCCGCGAGATGTGGCGACGGACGTCAGGGGCGGGCATGAGGGAGCGGCGTCGGCGTGGCGAAGCGGCTGCCTGTTGCGAGCGCACTGGCCGGGGCGACCGGGGACCCCGTGCGCGTGTGGGGCCGCGGTGCGAAGCGTGCTGCCCCGCATCTCGGCAACGCCTGCAGGTGCACACCCGCCCGCCCCGCGACCCCCGCACTGCACCTCGCCGCGGCGTCCTGGCCCCGCTTCGTTCAAGCCACGCATGCGCATGCGTGTGCCCGCGCAAAGCACACGCGCGTGCGCGCGCACGCACACACACACACACACACACACACACACACACACACACACACACACACACACACACACACACCTCTGCTTTTTCGTGTATCCTGGCGCGCGCGTCTGACAGGACGTCCCGT